TCGTGCGTGTTGAGTGCGCGAAATGCAGGCGAGAGTGCGATTTGTCCAGTCCGCGCGCAACCCTCTGCGGAGATCGCGCGTGTCGAGTGCGCGAAATGCAGGCGAGAGTGCGATTTGCCGGCTGCCCGCGCAACCCTCTGCGGAGATCGTGCGTGTCGAGTGCGCGAAATGCAGGCGAGAGTGCGATTTGCCGGCTGCCCGCGCAACCCGCTGCGGAGATCGTGCGTGTCGAGTGCGCGAAACGCAGGCGAGAGTGCGATTTGGTACGCAACTCTAGTACGCAGAGTAGCTGGGGAGCTGGAAGCTGAGAACTGGCGACGTGGTAGTGCGAGAGTAGTACGCGGAGTAGCTGGGGAGCGGGAAGATGAGAACTGGCGAGTGGGTAGTGCAACTTGAGGGCGTCGTGTATCTGGGGAGCTGAGCACTGGCGACTTTGTAGTACAACTGTAGTATGCGGAGTAGCTGGGAAGCTGGAAGCTGAGAACTGGTGACTTGGTAGTACAACTTTAGTACGCGGAGCAATCTGTGGAGCTGGAAGCTGAGAACTGGCGAGTGCGTAGTACAACTTTAGTACGCGGAGTAGCTGTGGAGCTGGAAGATGAGAAGTGGCGACTTGGTAACACAACTTTAGTATGCAGAGTAGCTGGGGAGTGGGAAGATGAGAACTGATGAGTGGGTAGTAGCTGAGAACTCGCGACTTTGTAGTACAACTTTAGTACGCGGAGTAGCTGGGGAGCTGGAAGATGAGAACTGGTGACTTGGTAGTACAACTTTAGTACGCGGAGTATCTGGCGAGGTGGAAGATGAGAACTGGTGACTTTGTAGTACAACTTTAGTACGCGGAGCAATCTGTGGAGCTGGAAGATGAGAACTGGCGACTTTGTAGTACAACTTTAGTACGCGGAGTGGCTGGGGAGCTGGAAGCTGAGAACTGGCGACTTTGTAGTACAACTTTAGTACGCGGAGTATCTGGCGAGGTGGAAGATGAGAACTGGTGACTTTGTAGTACAACTTTAGTACGCGGAGCAATCTGTGGAGCTGGAAGATGAGAACTGGCGACTTTGTAGTACAACTTTAGTACGCGGAGTAGCTGTGGAGCAGGAAGCTGAGAACTGGCGACTTTGTAGTACAACTTTAGTGCGCGGAGTAGCTGGGGAGCTGGAAGATGAGAACTGGTGACTTGGTAGTGCAACTGTAGAAACCCACGCACTACCTCAACTCACTCGACTTAACACTTCACACTGCACACTTAACTTCCTACGTGATGAAAAATGCTTTCGGGCCACTCGTCGTCTAGTTTCCCTCTCCCCCACCAGGCTCTGGGTCAGCCTCTCCGAGATTGCCCTCTCGCAACCACCCCCCCCCCACACACCCCCTTTAACTCACTTCGTTCGCTCCATCAACCTCAAGCCTTGCCTATCGGCTGGCGCTCGTGTCATATTGAAATAAAATTACACCACCGTAGACCCCAAACAGGTAGGACAACAACGAAGCATTCCCAAGTTCACTTATTGAACAACAAGAAGGGAGAGACAAGGAAACAGAAGAGAGACAAGACGGACACAATGGCCAACAAGAAGGGAGACAAGAAGGGAGTAAAAAGGAAACAGAAGGGAGACAAGACGGACACCATGACAAACAAGAACGGAGACAAGAAGGGAAACATTATACCGGCGTAGACCCCAGATGGCACTTCAGGAAAAATTGGACGCCATGGCAAGAGCGGGAGACAAGCTTGGGAGACATCCCACTCAAAGCCGGGGAAAGGATGGAAAGGGTAAACAAGACCCAAATCATCTTATAACAGCATCCGCGTCAAAGGCAGGCAAGAAAATGACAAGGCGGCAGCGGCAGCCAAGAGCGAAATCAGGAACAGAGACAAGCTTGGGAAACACGGCGGCGAAATCATGAAGGGAGACAAGCTTGAGAGACAAGGCGGCAGCGGCAGCCAAAAGCGAAATCAAGAAGGGAGCAGCCAAGAGCGAAATCATGAAAGAAAAAGTTTGGGAGGCCAGGTGGCAGCGGCAGCCAAGAGCGAAGTCATGAAGGGAGACAAGCTTGAGAAACAAGACGGCAGCGGCAGCCAAGAGCGACATCATGAAGGGAGACAAGCTGACAGACTTGGGAGACAAATGAATAGAAATGCTACATGGCCAATGGAAAAGCTGCATGGCCCACGGAAAAGGGGACAGCCGCAGTGACAGACTGCTACATGGCCAATGGAAAAGGGCGGACACCAGCAGTGACAGACCTGGGAGACAAATGTAGTGGAAAACCTGCCTGCTGTCAGTAGCTTGGACACTTTTGGGCGCGAGCTCACCCTGCTGGACGTGGACACACATCAGGCATTGTGCGACCCAATCCAAGAAGCCCTATGGGGTAACACTCAGTTCCACCTCATAGTTCAAGATTGTTTCCAGCGGTATGACCGCAAGGAACAAATCCAAGGGGAAGAATACGAGGACTACCCCAAAGCTATCTGGTCCCTGCCAATGACACCGGAATACTCGCCGCCAAAGCCTTTTTCTCAGTTGCGCGACTCCGGCACGTCAAAGTGGACCCTGGGTTTCACACGATTGACCGACAAGCCTGGCGATATTGCCATTCGCTACAAATTGTCAAGCTTCCTGACACAGTTGTTGCCATAGAATATGCGGCTTTTCAGGGGTGTTATGCCCTGGTTATGGTCGAGATGAATAGAAATGCACATCTTAAGAAAGAATTGAGAACCCTTAACAGTAAGCTGCTTGGGGAATAAAAATGCTACATGGCCAATGGAAAAGGGCGGACACAAGCAGCGACAGACCTGGAAAACAAATGATCAGAAATGCTACATGGCCAGGGGCGACACCAGCAGTACATGGCCAGCG